GTTTGTATTCATGAATATCATAAGGGGGTCACACACTATTAAAATCAAGTGATCAACTCATGTTTTTAAGGGATTTTTTGCTGTTTTAATGGTGTGTAACCCCCTTAATGATATTCATGATATTCATGAATAAAAACCCTAAATTCTGCTGCAGTAAAATCTTTTATTAACTTGATGATTTTTTTGTGATGTTGATTTAAGTCATATATAATATTGTTTTCTTTCAATAAATCTCTGATTATTGTTTCATTGATATTATAAATTTTGCTCAATTCCAATATTGTATTGTTTCCTAATCTTGATATTTGGTCCTGAAATTTGACAATATTAGTTTTAAAATATAAACAAATAAATTAAATTTTCACATTTGAAAAGAATACAATTTATTTACATTGGTTATAGAGGAAGAGGATGATGAATCCTGTGAAGAGGATGGTGAATCTTGTGAAAATGACATGCTAATCAAATGCAAAAAAGCCCAGTCAGTCTGTTAATTCTGAATAATATAACTAGAATGAGTAATATTTACCTGTTTTCTTCATTTCTCTCATCTTTGTTTTTTCCTTTTAATTTTCTTTTTTCTGATAATGATATCATTTTATTTTTTAAAAAAAAATAATTGGGTAAAAACGCATACACTATTATTATATTGTGTGTATGTTGTACAAATATCTTTTTTTTTTTTTTTATCTGGAAAAACAATTAATTTTTAGATAAAGAGTCAGTCCAAGGTCTTGGTTCGTACTTTAGGGCTGGAAGATTTTGCATTTGCTTCCATATTTGAGGTCATTTAGAATTTGAGGACGAGGCACAAAGTGCCGAATTGTTATTTATTTGGTGTAATCTGTATTTTGGCTTTATACATTGCATTCAAATTTGAGGATGAGATAAATAGTTACCTACTTGGTGGCCACAGAGTGTCTTGCTTTGCGGAATTTCTATAACCTTCTAATTTATTACTAATTTTTTTGACTAAATAATATAATCAACCCAAAATTTGATTTTAAACTAGTGACACTAGTGACAGTAAACATAAAGAGATAAAAATATCCGCAAACATATCCTCGTTGGCTATAAATGTCTGCCAAAAATGAAAAAAATCTGTCGCCAGTAATTGTTATTAGTAAATTTACAACTGAATCATATAGAACTGCATATATACTTATTTGCCAACAAATTAGAATGCCAAACAATAACCGCAAGCAATAATCACAAGCATAACCGCCCACTTACTGCGTCATAGATAGGTAATGTTTGGGTAGGTATTATATAATTCATCAGCATATTTAGATAAGCTAGTCTGATGAGACAATTTATAGCGATTAAAAAGCGCAATAGCAGCTCTCGACAATAATGCAATGTCAATATGATAATATATTTTCTTTTTAATGTTAAAATTGATATTAGGAATTTAGTAATTATTTCGATAGAAAATAAGTGGTATAAATAACATTAATTCTGCAAGTTTTAACATCGTCAAACCAGTGACGAATCATTAAAAAATATGAATTAAGTTTGAAAAGAAAAGGTTTCTATGAAACGGACAATATCTATTACTCCATATCGACATTTCACATTGACATTCTTTTTGTGAATGTTTAATTCGAATTGGGCTTTATGATCACCGAATACACCATGCTAGAAGAAAATTTTTTAATAAAGAAGATAAACAGTTTATTTTGAAGTTTATAAAGGACGAATGATTTACCTTCACGTGAGAACCTTTAACAGTCACAGCATTAGAAAAACACTTAAATCTGGTCCGAACTGGTTCTATTTTTTTTTTAGAAAATCTTCAGAAAAATCATTTATGTAAGATATAAAAAATAAGAAAAAATTTTACCATCCTCTCTTTCATTTATTCCATCCCATCCAACTTCTACAATCACTTTATTGTCTCCGATTCTTTTGAGTATGAGCGGACGAGAATAAATTAGTTTGTAGGGCACTACTTCCTCACTGGAAAATGTGTTAACGAAGAAAAAGGTTAAAAGAACGAAAGACAAGATAAGTAGACGATTCATGGTGTATTAGGTTTTATGAGTTTTATTAAAATTTTCTTATCACGACAAATAGCAGTTTTATGTTTATATAAAGAAAATTTACATTTTTTTCATTTAATATTTGCAACATCCGAGAATGATTTAAATGAATGATAAAATGCCCCGAAATCGGCAAATACGAATAAATTTGCTTTCACATCAGGGCTGGCTGCGTAAAAGGGTTAGATAATAATTGTCTTGACTAAACTTGACTAAGCTTGACTTAGGTTACGCGGCCAGCCCTGTTTCATATGTTGTCCGTGAAAATTAGGCTAGCCGCGTAACCTCAATGAGCATGACTAAAAACGATTATTACCAAATTAGGATTTTAACCCCCTTTACACGGCCCGAAATCAAATTTGAAATTTGAAATTTTGGGGTGAAGCGTTTGGATACAAAATTCTGATTAGCTGATTTGAATTTCGCGCAGATTTCAAATTCACGCACAATACATGTAATTGATTATATTATACACATCTAATGGCTAGCCGAAGTTTTGAAGCCGATCCTATTCAGCTCTATTGTTAACCTATTTTGATATTACAGACGTGATTTTTTCTGAGTGATCGAAATTATCATTTGGGGCTTCGTCAATCAGAATATAGTACGATCGATGACATTCTAAGATTTTATTTCAGCAGTAATATTCAAAATCAAGATATCTTGTATGGCGAATCCGATTAAATTAAATCCTTTTGAATATATAGGACGCTGATCACTTTAAATTACGTGCCTGATTAATCAATCAATTAATTAATATTAACAATAATTTTTTAATTTAATTTAAAATAAGATATAGCGGCATTTAAATTGGTGCAACGGAAATGTATACTTTAAGCGATTATTGTCATATTTTTTGAGTGAATAAAATCCTAAAAAAAAGGATTTCACGAAAATAAAAGCGTTGTATACATATTCTGACGATTAATGATTATTAATTAATGATTATTAATTATAAATGACAAATGAAAAATGAAAAATGAAAAATGACAAATGACAAATGAGCCGAACATTGAAATTCAAATCAAATTCAAGTTCAATGAGATTTTGATTTTATAATTTTTTGGGAAGCATGAAATTGATATTATATAAAATGTATTCCAGCACTATGATTCAAAAGTGCTTTAAAAAAAGGGAAGGTGACCGCGACACTATAATCGGGTCAATCACTCACTACCTTTAAAATGATTGACATTTGTGTTATATGAGCTTTATATTTAAAAAAAAATCACGTTGGTATAATGCTCTCTTTTTTTATTGTTAAAATAGATAGTAATTCATTGTTATTTTATTATTGTTGTTTATTATAATAAATTGATGTTAATTCTTTATTAATATCATTTATTTTTTTTAAAAATTATTGATAACTGTATTACATATTTTTTTATTTACAAACGATATAGAATTCAATTATACTTCCAGTGAAACTTTATCAAATAATAGAGTAAACTAGGGCCCCAAAATATATATGTAGAGGTAAGGTGCGTAATGCTTGACCATCATCATAGGAGCATCTGATGAGGTCAGACTTTGATTTGCATATAGAATTTGAGCTTTTTTTGGCTAGAATCAGGTTGCTTGTATTTAGAGACATATTTAATATTATAAGAAAGGTTGTGGTGAAACTGCAGGAAAAGACCTTTTTTTGTAATTTATTGCAAATCTGGACGCAATTTCGTTTAAGAGATAATCACTCCAAATTGTTTCTAATAAATAACTTTTACAAATATAATATTTTGATTTGTTTAAAAAAAGCCTGGACTTTTTTCTAAGGACTTAAGACAAACCAGTCTCAAGACAGGACTAACAGTCCCAGGACTAGTCCACTTATCTGAATGACTCTTAATTTGAATTGTTTGATCCAAATGATTCATTTGATCCATTGATTCAAATCATTTGTTTAATTATTCAATTATTGCTTTTATTTGGATTGTTGAAATCTTCATTTTATTCAGTTTGCCTGAATTATATAACAAACCTAATGTTAACTTTATATAATAATAATAAATAATTCACAAAACTGATAAGAAAGACTGAAACAAGATTCATAACTTGACACTGGTGTCCATTATTAGTGATGATAAAATATTTTCTGGAATGATTCAAAATTATATTGTAGCCATCATATTCATCTAATGCTAAACCATCAACTTCTGAGTGATTATGCCTCTCTTAAATCAATAGAAGCCATGTAAAATATTAATACATTTGTTATTAAATTGTTCTGTTCTTCAGACTCAATAGAATGTAGGGATCATTATCAATTCCAACTATTTGTAAAATTATGACTAAGATGCTACCCCTTTTATATACTAACTATTAACGAAAATAATATACTATTGTTGCTATTACCACTACTAACTATTATTAATTTTCAACAAAAAAAAATTAGTTACTCAATTTGACGACGATGTTATTTTGTAGCTTGATAATACAAAGGATTCAAATATTCAAAATTAAAGGAAATCATATGATAGAATCAAATGTGATTGACACAAATTTGTTGCTATGTCTGGTTAAAAAAAAAAAATTTTTTTTAAAAGATGGATAATTTAACAATATTAACTTCGGGAAATCAAATATATGCTAAAAAAAGAGAAAGAAAAAAACAACAAGTTGAAAAAATAGTTTTTGACGAAAATGCTAGACGGTTAGTTATATTTTGTAAATTAAAACAGCACATTTATTTTATTATTTATTTTAATAAATTTTATGAAAATTAAGTGAATATTTAACGGGTTTTCATAAAAGAAAATTGGAAAGAAAGGCAAAGGCAAAAGAAACAGCTATAAGACTCGCAAAAAAAGAAAGATCTGAACTTAGGAAAACTGTATGTTTGTATATATATAGACATATAAATATATTGTGTATCTCTATATGTTTTTAAAATAAAAAAAGCTCATCAATGAATTTTATTGAATAATTAGACAAAAGAAGCAAAAATAAAAAAAATCGCAGAGTTTTATAAAACAACTGAAAGTGTGTAAGGAAGGAATTGAGTTTATTGGTTTATATATACATATGGATTTTTAACAAAACAAATTTGTAAAGATAATTTATTTGTACTTAATAGATTCAATTATATCATCATCATCAAATGTTGATGAAAACTTACAAAACAAGGTTGATGAATATGTGGAAGAAGAGAAAAATGTGAAACAAGAAATAGAAATGAAAAAATCCGAATTTAGAACACCTGAAACATTGACAACAGTTACAATAATCAATGATTTAGACATTTGTAATTTTTCTTCAATATCAGAGAGTGAATATTCTAAAAATATTGAAAAGATTATAGAAGTTGATAATAATAAATTATCAAGTAAGAAGAAAAACTCAATGAATAATGAAAAAATCAAAAAAAGGGTTCATCCTATTAAAATTAAAAGATTTACAAAATCATCTCATTCCAAAAAATCAAATAGAAAAAGAATAAAGAAAAAAAATGGTAATTAATTGGCAATATTGTTGTTATTGTTATTGTTATTGCTATTTTATGTTTAATAAATTTTTTTGTTTTATTATTATTTTAGATTGATTTAGGAAAATATTAGT